GAAGACTATAACTATTAGCTACATGTTACCATTCAATATTAAAGTTTATCATATCTTAGAACTATTTGTGATCTTTACAGCAGTACTGTAACTTTGTTTAGTATTTATCGACAGACAAATGCAGGTGCCGTGATGCTTACCGATTGTGTGTTTTGGTTCATCATTTTCCCATTCCTCACCGTGAAGGACTACAATCTCAACTTCGTAAGTAGACGTGTTTTGTGTCTTCCCCAACATGGCATCTCACATTCTGACAAAGAACGTACTAATAGTTCACTGATTAATTTCTCTTCTGGCAGTTGTTGATAGGAATGCATTCAGTGAATGCTGTTTTCTTGCTCGGTGAGGCGGCCCTGAATAGCTTGGTAAGCAGCACATGAGTGACTATTGAACTTGATGATCAGAAAAAAGGAAGTTGATGAATGTTTTCACAGTTTACTGAACACACTGCAAACTCTCATGGTTTTATTTACAGAGGTTCCCTTGGTTCCGGATCGCATACTTCTTCCTTTGGACCGCGCTTTACAGCTCTATGTCGCGGCCCTGTTTGTCATTGGCGCCATGCGCAGGCGTCATCTGTCGGTCATGGCGTTCCACTTCGTCCCGACGGACGTCGTGGTGAACTGACGCGCCTGTCAGCGTCCGTACGAGGATTAGGCAGAACAGCACCGGCACATCCGACACTATTCTTGATGTGAATCCCTAGGTATGGACCGCCATGGTCATGTGTTACATCGAGGCATGCCAGCTTCTTCCCTGACGTTAGAGTTTTGACCCAGGTCCATACGCTTGACCTGGAGTGGTTGGCGGCGGTATGGGTCCCCGTCAAACGAGACAGAATCCGCGTCCTCGAGGTCGGGTGAGACGGAGCCCGCGACCTTGGGCGAGACGGAAACTGCGTCCTTGGGGTCGGGCGAGACAGAGCTCGCGGCCTCGAGGTCGGATGAGACGGAGTCCGCGACCTTGGGGTCGGGCGAGACCTTTTAATACGTCTCGAGTCGAGCCATCCGGGGAAGTTTGCTTTGGGTATCCCTAATATCGATACCCAACAAGGGATAAAAACGGTACGGATATTTTCCGACCGTATTCGAGAGCGAATCCGTTTAGAGGGGTTCAGATTTGTCTGTATCCAAGTCCAGATATTCAACACGGTCAGCCTGTTCGGCTGGAGGAAAACGATCGTAAATTTCCAGCCGGAACAATATTTTTCTCTCACAAAAATCAGCCAGCAGTACTTCTTCACGAACCAGCAACGATATGAACCAATCAATCGAACATACCAGGTATCCGTATACAGAAATCCAATCATATTCTATCCGATCCTTTCTCAACAGACACTGATTTTTTTTCCAAGGACAATGCGAGCCAAGGGCCTTCTTGATTTCCCGTTGACCACACCCAGGTAACATGGAGCAACGGTGCACGGGGGCGCTCATCTTGTAGCATCTTGTATGGGAGGTTGGGAGGTTGCCGCGCATCCAGCTTCGCCTGCTGAGGTGGTGCTAAACGAGAGACGTGTTCCACTGCGCTCTGCTGCAGCTGAGCTGGAGATATATATGGGCATTGGGCCGGCAGGAAACAGCCAGGCTGCGTTGCGGGTTGCAAGGGCTCTCTAGCTTTCTCCTTTTCCTTCCTAAAATAAAACATGGGCTCCAGTAGAAGCTTTGTTTACTTTCTAATTCTGCAGCTGCACGCACTCGTGGTATATATAGATCAAAGAATTCCATCCAAATATATGTTGCTTTTACTCAATCCTCGAATAGATATTTGTATCCGGTGTTCTCCGAATCCAATTCATACCGTATTTGATACTCATTATTCGTATCTATAACCGAGACAATCCGTATCCGTATATGTATCCGGTAGCTATCCGTGTCCTCCAAATCCTAATAGAAATATAAAACCAAATATTATATCAATGATATATGTTCGTATTCGATCTGTTTTCATCCCTACCTGCAGGGCTTTTTTATGCCGCCGGTGATAATGTTTCGGGCTAGCTATCAAATTAATTGCGAGTCTGTATACAAGTGTGTTGTCGCGTTTGCAAACTCTGTTGTTCTCCTATTGCTTCAACGTGCCCCGGTGCTGAGGAGAGGCGGAGTACTAGCAAGGGAGCTGTTTTGATTTTTTGGAAGCAAAATTTTCTTGTTATTTCTCCACCACAACGTTGTTTTTTAAATAAAAAATAAAAAGGAACAAAATGAAATTAATAAAAATGGAACAAAAAACAAAGGAAAGTTTAAACAGAGAAAGATCAACGAAAAACGAAAAAATGGATAGAATTCTTGGAATTGGGCTAAGCTTCTCATCCACCCTGAGCCGCACCTGTGTAAAAACGATTCGTGCATCAAACCAGGGCTTTTCATTGGGCCACGTCACCTAATTCTCTCTCAGCCGTCAAATATCAAACGAACGATCATCGAGCGTTTCAACGTGGCTGTCAAGAGTCTGGCTCCAAAGGCTTCGTGAAGTAAAGTCTCTGGGAAGTCCCCCGCTCGGCCGAGCCGCCGAGGGCTCGTCGCCATGGGACGCCCTCCTCCGTTCCTCCCCTTCCCAATGCCCGCCGCTCCCCTCTCCTCCCAGTCCCAGCCGCGGTCAGGAACCGGACGAACCCCGTAGAGCCCAGGCTTCTGCACGCTGGCAGGAGTGCACGAGCCTCAACCGTGTCAGCTCAGCCTGATCCCCCCGACGCGAGCTACCTCCAATGTTGCCTTCTTACATGAGTCCAAAACTGCGCAAAACATATGTACATGTTACCATCTCTTCTGCAGATTTGCTCTGGTGTCTTGTTCCTTTCCCTTTATACAGGCTCTAATTTATCATCTACATCTTTCAGAGTTAGCTGTGACAATGTTTAGATAACAGCCGACAAGTTTTGATTTGCATTACCTTTTACACAGTGATAACCATAATTAGTATAAATGGGTCGCTTCGTATATACAGAAGGCAATTTTATCTACTGCACAAACCCAATCCTACAGTGCCCCAAATCTAGGGAACACATCATGTTTCATCTGTTTTAGACCCATGTTGCAAATGTTTTATCTGGGTGTGGTAAAAGTAGATCTAGTATTTGAATGTTGTAATTGGTCCCACCTGCCACAGCCACATGAATGCTTGCAGCTGTTGGGCCCCCTCCAACGCCGCCACATTCATAGCGTAAATGGGTAACATTAGTTTCTGTTTGGGATGCCCAACCCGTAATATGTTATGCAGTGAATCGATCTGGCACTGTAGCCCGCGGTTCCCATCCCCTCCGAGCGGTAACTGCTCCCTTCGAGCGCTCATGGCCAACCAAACAAAAAGCCTGTATCACTTGCATGCAACCGATTGGTGCGGGATTTTGGGGTGTTTAAATTCAGGGACTAAAGTTTAAAGGTGTCACATCGGGTGTTATATTGGGGTATTACGTCGAGTGTTCAGACAGTAATAATAAAACAAATTACATAAGTCATCAGTAATCCGCGAGACGAATTTATTAAGCCTAATTAATCCATCGTTAGCACATATTTACTGTAGCACCATATTGTCAAATCATAGACTAATTAGGTTTAAAAAATTCACATCGCAAATTAGTCTCAATCTATGCATTTAGGTTCGTAATTAGTCTATATTTAATACCCCATACATGTGTCCAAACATTCAATGTGACAGTGACTAAAGCTACCAATCTCCAATGATACTTGTATGTGTATCTGAGCATTACTTCCTTGGCAACAAACAATGGCTATCTTCCTGCTGCTACTCCGTGCGCTGCATAGAAGAGGATGACCTGCTGCTGATGTTTGTTGGATGGATAAGAGATAGAGGAACTACTCTCTCAACAACATGATCCTTCATTCACTTGGGGATAATTTTTTTTGCGACAAAAGAAGAATTATATTAGATAATACCTGGGTACATCAATACGTTACAAGCACTTTGGATTACACAAGTAACTACAAAGTTTTATAACTTTTCGAGATCTACAACTTTGGTTTTGGTCGTTTCTCTATCAGAGATCGTTTGAAAAATTTGAATTTCAAATGTAAGAAATTCAAACGTAATTTTTCATGCATAGATGAATTCAACTGGAAACAATTGTCAACTACAAGTTGCATAACTTTTTGAGATGTACGTACAACTTTTATCTTGGTCATTTCTCCACCCAAGATTGTTTAAAAAAATCAAATTTGAAATGTGATAAATTCACATATAATTTTCCTTAGATAGATTATTTCAGATGAAAAAGTTGTCAAATACAAAGTTATATAACTTCTCGAGATCTACTACTTTTGTTTTGCTCGTTTCAACATCATATCCGAGGTCATTTTAAAAATTTGAATTTCAAATGTAAAAAATTTCAAACGTAATTTTCCATGCTTGGATGAATTCAAAAGGAAAAAAGTTGTCTACTACAAAATTGCATAGTCCTACAACTTTTTTGAGGTCATTTCTCCATCTAAAGTCGTTTGGAAAATTCAAATTTTAGTATGCAGCTCATATTTTTAGAGGCGGCTCAAATCAATTTCTAGAGATCCATTTGTAGAGGCGATTGGAAATAGAGCCGTCTCTAATAATGGTATTTGTCGGTTTAGAGGTTACTCTGGAGGCGGCTGTATCTTGACCGATCTCTAAAAAAAGCCTCCATTGCTGATTTTTTTTAATAGTGTTAGCACCTTCTGGAAGAAAAGAATTTGGCCACAGCTCCAAAATGGAAGTGGTAGAAGCATGGTTTACTTTTTCCAAATAAAAATAAGATATCCTTTAAACAAAGCAGAAGGGGGCAGGCAATCACTCTAGTTTCAAATGAGCAAGAATCGATCACAAGAACACAATCATTTTGGTAAAGAGAGACCATATTACATTATTCCGGAGCTTATTATTATTGTCTACTACAAAACTACTCACATGGATCAAGTAAGCTCGAACTATAAATGCAAATGACATTCCAGAACCTGAGTCTCTCTTTGGATATTTCACGGCGAAGACTAAGAATTTAGCTCAAATTTGGACCGCTAATATGTGGACGGCTGTGTCTGGAGGCCGAAGCCAAACGGGAACAATGGATCGTAGTGCGCGTCACCGACGTTCATTGGCAGCTGATCCACCGAGCGGAACCACGTCCTCGACAGCTTCCCCGTGAACCCGTAGTCGCCGAACAGCACGTCGCTGACGCCCTGCCCCTCCGTCCCCGGCAGCCACGCCGCCACCAGCGCGTCGATGATATGGATGAACGGCTCAACCACCAGCGGCCTCCCGGAGACGAGCACCACGACGCACCTGATGCTGCCGCAAACATTCTGGATGATGTCCGGCCCGGGGGCTGGGATGGTCAGGTTCAGGTTGTCGCCGAACGTCTCGGCGTAGGGAGGCTCGCCGACGACGACGATGGCGTAGTCGAACAGGGGCTTGTTCTGCTGGACGAAGTCCGCGTCGGGGTTCTTGGAGTAGACGACGTTGGTGCCGGGGGCGACGGCGCGCAGGATGCCGTCGAGGATGGTGGTCCCGGCGGTGAGGTTGTTCCCCGTGAGGCCCTGCCAGGTGATGGTCCAGCCGCCGCACTGGCTGCCGAGATCGTCAGCGTGGCTGCCGGCGACCAGGACGCTGCCGCCGTAGGAGAGCTTCTTGGGAAGCGGCAGCATCGGCTTGGCGCCGGGCTTGCCGTTCTTGAGGAGGACGAGGGACTTGCGCACGGCCTCGCGCGCCAGGTCGCGGTGCTCCTGCTTGCCGAGCTCCCCGACGAGGCTGGTGTCGGCGTAGGGGTTCTCGAAGAGACCCATGGTGAATTTGACCCGGAGGATACGGCGGACGGCGTCGTCGATGCGGCTCATCGGGATGGTGCCGTTCTGCACCAGCAACGTGAGGTCGTCGATGAACTCCGTGTACGTGTAGGGGATCATCACCATGTCAATTCCGGCGAGGATGCCCAGCTTGATGGACAGAAGGTAGTCAGCGTGATCTGGGGTCGTGATCCTGTCAAGCCCTTGCCAATCCGAGATGATGAAGCCCTGAAGTAAACAATTAAATTAAATACATACAGTTCAATTCATTTTATTTATGCCTCAACAATTGACTTCAACGTGGAGTACCCTAAAGCGGAGCCTGTTCTTGAGGTGGTCGGTGACGAGGAAGTGGTTGGCGTGCATCTTGACGCCGTTCCAGCTGGAGAAGGAGACCATGACGGTGGAGACGCCCCGGATGACGGCGTTGTAGTAGGGCGGCATGTGCACGGCCATCAGCTCGTGGAAGGACGCCACCGTGTTGCCCTCGTTCAAGCCCTTGGTGGTGCCGCCGTCGCCGACGTAGTGCTTGGAGCACGCCGCCACGTTGCGCTGCCCGGCGACGTATGGCGCGCCGGGGCGGCCGCCGCTCGCCGGGATCTCGCCCTGGAACCCGGAGATGATGGAGGTCATGTTCCGGACCACCCCCGGGTGCTCGCTGAAGCTCTCGTAGCACCGCCCCCACCGAGGGTCTCTGCACACCGCGACGCAAGGAGCGAAGACGTAGGGGATGCCGGTGGCCCTGACCTCCAGAGCTACAGCAGCTCCAATCCTCTGTGCTAGCTCTGGGTCCCTGAACCGAATAAACATGCAACTCGATCAGATTTGTTTAATTATGTGATGATGAAAATTATATGTTATTACACACTTGATTTGTTTTTGGTCTAGTTTCACAAAGAAACTCGGCAAACATTTTGATTTTTCATTTTTCCTTGTAATTTATTTTTGGCGAATAAATTGAAGCACACGTACGTACGTACGTACCTGGTGCAGCCGAGTCCGATGTTGTGTGGGAAGATGGTGGCCTTGTAGACGTTGCCGTGGCCGTGGACGGCGTCGATGCCGTAGATGATGGGGATCCCGAGGCGCGTCGACAGTGCGCCGCTCTGCATCCCGTTCACCATCTTCACCCACGCCTCCGGCGGCGCGTTCTTCGCCGGCACGCTGCCGCCGCCGCTGAGCACGCTGCCTGCACGGCCACGCGTGCATGGCTTCAGGATCTCGCACGTGTTTACCATACATGCATTAAACTAGGACGTACTTACGATTCAACTCTAGTTTAATTATTTTAAGCAGCCACGTCGTTACGTTACGTTGACTGGGGAACTTTATTTACCCATACCAACGTCGTCTGGCACGCAGTATTATCAATACCATAAATAAAAAATCAAGTGGCCGGCCTAGACTAACTAAAGCACAAAGGTTTATGATAATATGTATCATCAAATGCTAATAATCTCTCTCCCATCAATCTGGCAGATCTGAATAGTTTTAATTTACGCTAAACACTGGTGACTGTTGCAAGCATGTATATATAGATATTATAGGCCTAAGTGTGGCCTTCGTTTGAAGTTTATTCGAACTTGCTTAGAGTTACCAAGCTCAATGGCCCAAACTATAGACAAAAGCAAAAGCAAGGACTACACGGCCAAAATATATATACATACTCACCAGTACATAGTTTTCACGTCATTAAACAGAGTTTTCGTGCACCCATAAGTACTGTTTGACTACTATTAACCTGGCCAAATAAAGTTCAATATAATGCTCTATTGCAGTATCTAACCCGTCCGTCATTGCTGCTGATAGCTACTAGCTGCATCCAGAGCTATATATGGCCCGTTTGGGACTTCTCACATCCATGTTTTTCTTCTCCGCTCGCAACTTTGCTATCCAAACAGGGACACCTTTACGAACATCACTCTAAAAAAAGCAGAGTTGAAGGTCAACTACCTCTAGGTTTTTTGTTGAGCTACTTTATGATAGAGTTGGTGGAATAGGATTGGTTTTGGTGGAGTTGAGTAGTCCCAAACAGCTGAATCGAGTAGTCACACGCATTCGAGGTCTATCAAGCTACTAGCTACGAATGACAAGATGCACGTACGCGTACATATATATATATACATACATACATACTCGCATATATAGTCGCATATATACACATACCTATGAGGTACTTGTTGACGACGTTGGCGGTGGCGTTCTCCCGCTCGATCTGCGACATCTGCCCGATCTTCTCCGCCAACGTCATCCGCCGCAGCAGGTCGTCGATCCGCGTGCTCAGCGGCTGCTTCGGGTCCTTGTACCTCAAGTAGGCGCCCTCGCCGCCGCCGCCGCCCTTCATGGGCAGAGCCGCCGCGACGGCGACGCAACCGCACAGCTGCAGCAACAGCAAGCTGCAGGCGGCTGCCGCAGTGGTCATGGTCACCACCCTGATCACCCCCATATGGCTCATCAGCTCGCCTGCTAGCTCGATCCACCTACGTACTGCAATTCCCGCATGCATCATATATAGTTATTATATTATATTTCATGCGTTACGCAGTTATATATATGTATTTTTGGAACGAACGATTTATACATATATATTGCATGTATGCACGTATATACGAAGAAAAGAAGAGCTACCTTACAGAGCAGGGCGCTACGAGAATGCATGCACAAATAGCCACAGTGGAGTGAAGTGTGGGGCTGTAGACTGTTCGCTTGGCCTCTATTTATGCACTACGAGTAAGCAAGGGCTCATATATACAAAACTTTGGATAATCTCGGTGACTGGACCACGTTAGCTTGCGATGGACTTTGTACATATAAAAATTATATCCCCCCCAATGATTCCTTCTTTGAGTTGAAATACAGTATTGTTCAAGATTTCTGACGTTGCATTAATTCGATCGACAAGTGGCTGTTTCTTTATAATAACCACCAAAGTAGCAGTACGTGTCAACGTACGTCCTAGGTTAGTGCATGACCTTATTCATTTGTGCACACTTTACTATAGCTTGCCCTTGTTGGATCCATGTACTCACTCTGTCCCTAAATAATTGTCGTTTTTTTGTTTACGTGTCGTAAGTTTGACTATAAATTTATATAAAATACGTGCAACATTTGTATCTCTAAATAAATTTATTATAAAAATAAATTCAACGATCTATCTAATGATATTAATTTTATACCATAAATATTATTATTATTATTTATATATATTTAGTTAAAGTTGTTTCTCGGAAACGAAAACGATAGTTATTTATGGACGGAGGGAGTACATGCTAGGTAGCTCCTAAAAGTTAGCAGTTTTGAATTCAAATATCCACTACCGGAAACAGTAGGTATGCCGAGTGCCTGAGGGTTTGCCGAGTGCATTCTATCGGGCACTCGGCAAACCTGCTGTGTGCCGAGTGCCGCCGTGGAAACATTCGACAAACATATTGCACTCGGCAGAAAACCCTATTTGCCGAGTGCCTTAAAGTAAACACTCGGCAAATCATAACGAAACACTCGGCACTAGGCAAAATAGCAGCACATGCGCTGGCCGTGCAATGGCCGCCAGCTTGAGCGCCCTGCGTTAGCACTTTGCCGAGTATCCGTTAGTGACACTCGGCAAAGACATTATTTGCCGAGTGTTTCTTTATGGCACTCGGCAAATTAATCATTTTACCGAGTGTTTTGTGTTGGCTCTCGGTAAAGCCTAAACTTTTTTCCCTCTTCTGCCCTTGAAACTTTTTCTACTCTCTACATACAACATGTGGTACTCCATGTTAACATTTGCTATATTTCTAGAACTGTTTGCTATATTTAATTAATTTATTGTATTTCAAGGAATTTTTTTGGTATAAGTCAAATTTGAACTTCAAGTGATTTAAATAATAGAATAAAATGAGTAGAAAAATGATATTCATGTTATTGAGTCCGGTGTGAGACCTTACCAGAGAAATGAAAAGAAATTTCGAACATCTTGTTTAGGAAACACGACCACGAACGTGTGGTCGAATGGTTTTTAAATTCTAAAAAAAGCAAACGAAGTCTGAAAATCATGAGATTTGTCAAGATATCGTGATATCATATGTGGAGTCCGTGGTAAAAAAATTGAGAAGGTTTCGGATAATCTGTCACCTACGATGTTTACAAACCGAGGTATCTCAGAAGAAGAATCGTAGCGTTGAGAAGGATTCGGTAAGATTTGGAGTTAAAGTGCGGTCGAATTGGGGTTTGACTTCAGAACTTTTTGTATAGGCAATAGAGAACATAGATTAATTCATGTGTAATTTTGGTAATTTTTTGGATCCGTTCGATAATTTTAATTTGTTAAGTGCGATTATAGAATTTTAATTGATATACATTGAATTTGAGCGACAAACTGCATGAAATAATAAGTTTTTTTTTTCACTTCTGACCTTAAAACTTTTTCTACTCTCTACATACAACATGTGGTACTCCATGTTAAGATTTGGTGTATTTCTACATCCGTTTGATATATTTAATTAATTTATTGTGTTTAAAGGAATTTTTTGGTATAAGTCAAATTCAAACCGCAAGTGATTCAAATAATATAATAAAATGAGTAGAAAAATGATATTCATGTTACTGAGTCCCGGTGTGTGGCCTTATCTGGGAAATGAAAGAAAATTTTGAACATCTTGTTCACGAAATACGACCACGAACGTGTGGCCGACTGGTTTTTAAATTCTTGAAAAAACAAAGTATGAAAATCATGAGATTTGTCATGATCTTATGATATCATACATAGAGGCCATGGTAAAAAATTGAGAAGGTTTCGGACAATCTGTCATGTATAATGTTTATAAACCGAAGTATCTCACAAGAAGAATCGTAGCGTAGAGAAGGATTCGGTAAGATTTAGATTCAAAGTGACGGTCGAATTGGGGTTTGACTTCAGAACTTTTTGTATAGGCAATAGAGAACATAGATTGATTCATGTGTAATTTTGGTAAATTTATGGATCCGTTCGATAATTTTAATTTGTTAAATGCAATTATAGAATTTTAATTGATATACATTGAATTTGAGCTACAACTGTATGAAATAATAAGTTTTTTTCACTCCTAACCTTGAAACTTTTTCAACTCTCCACATACAACATTTGGTACTCCATGTTAAGATTTGGTGTATTTTTGGATCCGTTTGATATATTTAATTAATTTATTGCGTTTAAAGGAATTTTTTTGGTATAAGTCAAATTCGAACTGCAAGTGATTCAAATAATATAATAAAATGAGTAGAAAATGATATTCATGTTATTGAGTCCCGTGTGAGACCTTATCCTGGAAATGAAAGGAAATTTTAAACATCTTGTTCACGAAACCCGACCACGAACGTGTGGCCGAATGATTTTTAAATTCTTGAAAAAACAAACGAAGTCTAAAAATCATGAGATTTGTCAAGATCTCATGATATCATACGTGGAGGCCATGGTAAAAAATTGAGAAGGTTTCTTACAATCTGTCACATACGATGTTTACAAACTGAAGTATCTCAGAAGAAGAATCGTAGCGTTGAGAAGGATTCGATAAGATTTGGATTCAAAGTGACGGTCGAATTGGGATTTGACTTCAGAACTTTTTGTATAGGAAATAGAGAACATAGATTGATTTATGTGTAATTTTGGTAATTTTTTTGATCCGTTCGATAATTTTAATTTGTTAAGAGTAATTATAGAATTTTAATTGATATACATTGAATTTGAGCTACAACTGCATGAAATAATAATAAGTTTTTTTCACTCCTGACCTTGAAACTTTTTCTACTCTCCACATACAATATGTGGTACTCCATGGTAAGATTTAGTATATTTCTGGATCTGTTTGGTATTAATATGTGGTACATACAACATGTTAAGATGTGGTATTGCATGAAATAATAAGTTTGCCGAGTGCCCCTTATATGGCACTCGACAAAGCTGGGTTTTGCCGAGTGTCAGACCTGGGATACTTAGCAAACCCCCTCACGGCCCCACCCACGCGCAGTAGGGTTTCAAAAATGGGGAAAAAACAAAAACTGAGGCTTTGTCGAGTGCTACCTGGGACACTCGGCAAACCGATGCTTTGCCGATGCTAGACCTCGGTCACTCGGCAAAGCTTACGCATATCACACACACACACACACACACACTCACACACACGCCACGCCGCACACACTCACACACACACCACGCCGCACACACACGCCACACCGCCGCAAGACCAAGCACCCTCGGCCATCGCACCACGCCTCCCACCACCGACCGCACCACGCCCCAAATTACCCATGCCCCCAAATTGGTCGGACCCTCGAGGAGCAACCCACCATGCCAAGCACCCTCGCAGAGCGACACCATCTGCCGTTCGCCCCTCACCGGGCGACCCGCCGCCGTCCGCCCCTCGCGACCGACCATCCGCCGCCGGGCCGTGCGCCAGGCGACCGCGCCGCGTCCACCCTCTTGCCGACGGACCCCGGCGACGTCGCCCCCTCGCGAAGCCACTCCGCCGTCCGGTCCCTCAAAGAAGGTATCGCCTCTCTCTCACCTCGACGCGCCTCTCAAAGTTCGGAGTCGTCTGGCCCCAAAGAAGGCATCGCCTCTCTCACAACTTTCCTTCAAGCTATCAAAATTGTTTTGGCTGTCTATTTTAGAAACATGATATGACATTTTATCGTACATCATTTTGTATATAACAGCTTCTTCCTGTGTTTTCACACTTGATGCTCATGTTAAATTTGAGTATTGAAACTTCCTGTTAGGCTTTAGGTTGTTATAAATTGTTTTAGTCATCAATTCTAGAAACACTGCATACAACACTTCATCATATACGTATGTGCCAACTTTGGCATTATTTTTTATGGAACTTCACAAAGATGCTCTTCTCTAAGTCGATTTTGGGTGCTTAGCTTTCTATAAAATAGCAGACTCTAACAACTAGAACAAAACATCGAAAAGCATTTCCACAGCACTTTAGGAGTTCGGATTTATCACTGTTCATGTACCTTGCATCATTAGAAAAGGAGACAGAAGGGAACTAGAAAATTGCCTTCTTGAGTATGTGCTTTTGCTTGCTGGATTCAGTTTGACGCTGTTGGTATGTGGTTGTCGGCCATCGTGCCGTTGTTTTGGTGTGTATGTGTTTGTCGGCCATCGTACCATTGGTTTGTTGCAGGTTTTGGTTACCTCACCGTGCAGGGGAGGTGCTGTCGAAATTTACAATTGACACTATTATGTTCGTTTGTTGCAGGAGAGGCTATTGCAAGGATCATTCCCCATCGTCCTCGACTCGTCACTTTGCAGGACAGCAAGGTGAGGCATCCTATAGCCCTCTTTCCATATCATGTTCGTATATCACGTAACCCAGCTAGGCGTCTCCCGTTCGAAAGAGATACGGTTGAAAATATGCAGATCTTTGCATATCTATAACCGTATCTGTTTCAAATTAT